TTGAATGCCTGGAATAAATCCCACTTGGACATGGTGAATAATTATTTTAGACATTGCTGGATTCAGCTTGCTGATATTTTGTTGAGGGTTTTAGCGCCTAAGTTTGTGAGTGATATTGGTCTGCAGAGATTTTGGGTTTTGCTGTTGTTGTTGTTGATTTATTTAGCTTTTATTTTCTTTGGTTTAAGCATCATATTAAATACCAGCTTCACAGAATGAAGTGGGAAGTGTTCTTTTCTCTTCTATTTTCTGGAAGAAGCTATATATAATCAGGTGTTAATTTTTTTTTTAAATTTTATTTATTTATGAGAGAGATAGATAACACAAGCAGTGGGGAGGGGCAGAGGGATTAGAGGGATGGGGAGAAGCAGGCTCCCCACTGAGCAGGAAGCCTGATGTGGGGGGGCTCGATCCCAGGACCCTTGGGATCATGACCTGAGCCGAAGGCAGCTGTTTAACCAACTGAGCCACCCAGACCCCCCAGGTGTTAATTCTTTAAATGTATGGTAAAATATTCCAGGGAAACCATCCAGGCCTGGAGCTTTATTTTTTAGAAACTTAAAAATTACAAATTCAATTTCTTTAATGATTGTAGGACTATTCAGATTACTTATTTTACCTTAGTTGGGGTTTGGTAGTTTGTGGTTTTCAAGAAATTGGTCCATTTCTCCTAAATTGTTGGATTTTTTAGCGTAAAGTTATTTTTCATATTCCTTTATTATCCTTTTGATGCCTCTGGGATCTGTATTAATATCTTCTATTCCATCTCTGATATTGATGATTCGTGTGCTCTTTTTTGTTGTTGTTGGTTTATGAATTTTATTGATTTTTTAAAGAATCTGCTTTGTTTCATTGATTTTCTCTATTGTTTTCCTAGTTTTGATTTTATTGATTATTTCTGCTCTTATCTTTATTATTTTCTTCCTTGTCCTTGCTTTCCATACCTCTGGAGAGAGGGCAGCGGTGTAACCAAATCTATTACATGCTTAAAAAACTCTGTATTACGTGATATCCTCACTAGAGGAAGAGTGAAACATAAGAAGAGACATCTTCGGGGAAGAAGTTGGGTCAGCACCTCTGTTCCAGGTGCAGAGGAGGGGAAAGAGGCAAAGATAAAGCACAAAGCATGAGCAGGAAGAGGAGCTGAGCCTCCTCGGTCATCAGAGAGTGCGAATCAGACCCCAGGGAGACAACACCTCACACCCACCAGGACAGCTGGAACCAAACACACAGATAATAGGAAGTACTGAATCGGAACCCCACAGCTACTTGTGAGACTGTAAAGTTGTATCGCTCTTTTGTTCCTCAAAAAATTAAATACAGTTGCCATTGATTTGTACATTTTAAAATGGCTAAGATGGTAAATCCTATGTTATTGTATTCTACCACAAGAAAAAAAAGTTAAACACAGAATTACTCTATGTACCAGCGATTCTGTTAGGTATCTACCCATTAGAAATGAATCCACATATTCATGAGAATACTTGTGAGTGTTCACAGCAGGATTAATGCCCATCAACTGTGAACAGATAAACAAATGGAAGATTATTTGCTTGCTTAAATCAAAATATACAGAATATATGATTCCAGATCATGGAATACCATTCAGCCATAAAAAGGAATAAAGTACTGATATTTGCAACCACAAGGATGAAACTTAAAAATATTACGTTCATTGAAAGAAGCCAGACACAGGAAGCCACATATTGTACGATTCCATTAATGTGAAAGATCCAGAACAGACAGATGTAGAGAGATAGAGGAGAATAGCTATTTCCGGGGAGGGGAAGGAAAAACGGAGAGTGACAGAATGTGAGTGGGGAGTGGGGTTTCTCTTTGGAGGGATGGAAATGTTCTGGAAATAGCAGCGGCAATGGTTGCAAAACCTTGTGATGTATTAAAGACTACTGAATTGTATACTTTATGGTGAATTTTATGGTATGTAAATGATATCTCGATTTTAAACAGAACCGATGGAGCCCACCAAGGAGAAGGGCATCTCCCTGGAGCGGTGGGCAAGGAGAGAGTATGGGACTTGGAGGTGCCCAGGGTCAGTGACTGACCCCTGCAGAGCCTTTGAAGTGGGGGTTGCAGGTGCAGTGCCTGAGCATGCTCGTGCTGAAGCTGTGGACCTCAGCACTGACTGCACCCCAAGAAAGGTAGTCATTGTCTTAGATGGGAGGAGTTCCAGAAGAAAAGCCTAAGTGGGTAAAGTGAAAGTTTATTCAAAAAAGCAAGAATGAGCCAGCAGTGAGAAAGAACAAGGAGTAAGTGTAGACTTTCTTTTGTACCTAAACAGTAACTAAGGGCTCCAATGGGGTTGAAAACAGGATTTCCCTGAAGGCAACCCTAGACAGTTGTTGTTGTTTTCAGTGGGGGCAGGGGGAGATGAAGTCAACAAGGGGAAATGAACAATGCTAGAGTAAAAATGGAAAATAAAGGGAATCCACATGAGGACTGCCGTGTAAAGTTGTACTACAACTTAAAAAAAAAAAAGTTGCACTACACAATTCTAGGAGGTGCCATTCACACTAATGTGTAAATGTGTTGTATTACCTAGAGATGTACAATGCACAGTCCTGATTTCTTGATTTTGGCAATAGAGGATGCTTCCTCTTTTGAGACAGGAAACTTTGTAGACTGGGAGGAGGACCTACAACGACACACTGAGGCAACGTGGGAGGAAGTTCAGGGGCTCATGTCTGAGGCCCCCTTCTTTGTCATTCATGTAAAAGATGAGGTTCTCTTTCGAGATTAAGAGAGAAAAGTAGATATTTGTGGCAAGTCTAAGAACATTTGGAGCAGCTGATGAGTAGAGACTAGTAAGGGTCCCTCTCAGGTCAGATGACCTAAATTTATGGTGGACTCACTCACCACTTCATGGCTTCCTGTAGCACTTTGGGGCTGGGCAATAGGAAAGGAGAGGATGGGATCACCCGGGGCTGGAAACATGCAACCAAGGAGGGGAGAAGTAAAGGGAACAGCAAGTCCTACATGGGCAGCTGATGGAGATCGATGGGGAGGCAGGGGTCCATCATGCCCTCGTTTACCTAGTGGTCATCCAACAGGCCACAACTGCATGCCTAGGCATGCAGGAGCCACGGAAGGGGAGTCTGGGCTGCATCCCAGGTGGGACTCACAGAAAGGGAACCCACAAAGAGGAGGAAGGCTGGGTGGGCTGGGGGTATGAGGGGGCCTCGAGATCAGAGTTGGAAGTTGAGGAGCAGCTGGCAGGAGAGGAACCCAGGCCACAGCTCTGTGAGGTCCCAGTGTGAGACGGGCCCCATCTGGCAGGTTGGCCCATGTTGGGGGAAGGACAGCGCTTAGGACAAGGAGGGGATACAGAGAGAAGTCTCCCACTCAGGGCCGGATGGAGGCTGCTGGGAGAAGGCAGTAAGCCTGACTGTGGCAGACTGTCCTGCCATCCACACACTGATCCCCTTGCCTGGCGTAATGCTCTGCTCTGCTGTGGAGTTTGTTGCTTTCACCACGCATGCCGCCATAACCCTAATACCCACAACCACTCTTTAAAGCCCAGCTCAGTGTATGGCAGTATCCTCCTTCCTCTGTCACCTTGACAACAATACTTCTTCCTGATTAAAAAAAAAAAAAATTCAACTAAGTCTTGTGGTGGGGTGGGGGGTCTGGAGAGGAGATGCTTCCTGGCTGACAGGACTGTTTGGCCCCCATGCTAGGCCCTCATTCATTCGTAGACGCACGCGGAGACTCCACAGCCCATGAGCACCATGGGGGAAGGGGCCGGGTGGCCATGCATCCGTGAGCTGACATTCCAGCGGGACAGGCAGGATGGAGACCATGGAGAGACATGCCGCAGCAGGGAGGGCAGGTCCTCAACGGAAGCAGAGGCATCCCGCACTGAGCTGAGGGTGAATCACGGGGACACTTGGGGAAAGAGCTTCCTGAGCCAGCGGAAGGAAAGGCCTGAGTGAGGTGTGCACCTGGGGTTCAGTGGCTCAGTGGGGCCGAGGTAGAGAGGGGCTAGTGCCCATACTGGATGAGGAGACATGGCCCTGCCCTCACAGGGCTCATACGCCTTCAGAAAGACAGTGAGGAGGACAGAGAGGGATGTGTGGTGGCCCCAGAACACAGAGGCCAGCCGTCGCAGAGCGGTGCCTTGAGGGTGACTCCTGAAGTGAGCGAACGTCCGGATAAGGTGGGATGGGTGAGGAGGCCACCAGGAGGGGCAGCCTGGAGGAGAGGCCTGCAGGGGGACGGAGGGAGGGGATGGATAGCAGGCGCCGTGCCTCTTCTTCCTCCTGGCAGAATCCTGACTTAGTTCCAGGCAGCAGCGTACCTGGCCCTGGTGGCTACTGTGACTAGAGAGTGGCCATTACCAGCCTCCCTTGCAGCCTCATAACGCTGCTCCAGCAGAGCCCTGGGCAGGACTCCCACCCCCGGCAAGGGCGGTCTCAGGGGGAGACTCCTTCCCTCTTTGGCCCGCTCTGCTCAAGAAGCAGCAGGGGTTCCCGAGCCAGGATAAGGAAAAGTCACCTGCTAAGAACACCGAGGACGCACAAGGACAGGTGTTGGAGGACACTGCCAAACTGCCCCACAAAACCCAAGGCTGTCTGCCTCCAGAATTCTCTGTGAGTGCAGGTCACTGTCAGGCAGGGACTGTCCCTCCCAGCCTGATGTGCTCCTGGCCCTGACGGGGTGGGAGTGTGGGGAGGACACACCCAGGCCCACCCCTACAGCTCGCACACCCTCATGGAGGAGCACACATTCCCACCTCGGACTCTTCCAATATCTCTATTACATTCTCTAGTGATCGGCTGCATTTTTGGTGAAGAGCCATCGTTTTTTTCACAATTAGGGAAATCTTGGCATTCTAGTTACCCACTCCTCTTTTCAAAAGGATTAACTACTAGAGAAAAATATCATTTCCTTCTTGTGAAAATAGCCTTGGAAAAACTTCAGGCTTTTAAAATCATGTCAGCATTCCTGCAGATCTGATCATATTGTGAGCTCATGTATCTTACCACTGTGAAGTCAGGGTGGAAAATACATCATCTCTTTCAGATTCCCGGAATAACTTCAAAAGTTCCGGATCCCCAGATAAGTGTGTAAGAATGCGCAATTCAATCTGTGAAAAGTCTGGGGGACAGAACCCACATTAATTCTGAATCTACCAACAGCGTCCCTCGTCATTGCTACCCACGCCGCAGCCCGCCCTCAGCCTTCTGTCCCCACTGCAGCATCAAGGGCAACATCCCCCCCTGCCCACCGCCAGGGTCCTCTGGCCTCAGGGCCACTGGCCACCCCTGGGTCTGCAAGTCTAAGGGACTGGTCCTGCCTTCTGTGAGGCCTGCAACACCTCTGGGGAAGGCCATAGGCACTCCTCTGTTCATCCTGTCCATCACAAGTTTAGAGGGGCCTGCTGGTGCCTGGCAGTGTGACTGGGATGTGACAGTGAACAAAACAGATAGGCCTTTCTTCATGGAGCCCATGTTCTAGGAGCAGGAGACAATGTGCATGAGTTATCTGGTCTGTCAGAGGATGAGAAGTGAAGTGGAAAAGACAGATAAAGAAAGGAGGCTCAGGAGGGAGAGGGTGGTCAGGAACACCTCCTCAAGAAAGTGACACTGGAGCAAAGGCACAGAAAAGGCAAAGGAGGGAGCAAGATGGTGTCCAGTGAAGGGGTTCCAGGAGGGCATGATTTGGGACTGGTCCAGGCTGGAGGCCAGCCCGTCTGCAGGGAGCGAGCAGGGCAGAGCAGCGAGCCTGATGAGGGCGAAGAGGAGAAAGGAGGGGCAGACTGGGTGGGACCATGAGGGGGCACCTGGGGTCTAGAAAAGGTGAGGGACCATCGAAGCAGATCTGTTCTTATTTACTGTGCACAAGAAATCTTTCCTTCAGATAAATATTTGCTTTAGGATTTGCTCTATAGGAGGAATTCTGTAAGCACCTTTGAATTATCTACCATTCCAAGTATTTGAAACATGAAACGTGTAAAGTGAGCCACTGTGACACAGGGCATCTGTCTGGCATGGTTTGCACGTACCTGCTGCCAGGAAGGTGTGGCCGTCGGGGGCAATGAACATGCTCCTCGGGGAGATGGTGAGCACTGTGCCCTCCAGACCTGAAACATTATTTTAAGAGTACTTGGTGAATTTGGTCATAAGCTGATTTATAGCCATTGCTCACACGGAGTTTATTTTAATATCATTCCAAAGTCAAGAGTCCAGATTTCTGACTTTTCTGAATATTTTTATTAATATAATTTAAAAGCAAATGGTACTGCTGAGAGTAAAGTAGGCTCTCTGTTGTTAAAATTTTACATTCTGTCTAGAATTCTTGGTGAGGAAACAAACACGGACCTTTGAACATACTCCAGTAAGAATGTTCTGGAGGCCCCCGGAGCCTCACCGCCTAGAAGACAGTGTTTGGGGAAGCTGTGGGGTCCTATGATGCATAGCACATGTTTTGAAGGGCAGTAGGAGACAAAGGTGCTCATGGTCACCTCCACGGGTCCTGCTTATGGGCAACTGTATTTGAAAAGAACCCCGGTCATGCTTTACTGTTTTGTGGTAACCAAAGCAGAGAGGCAGGAGCACCCCACCAAGGGTGCAGGAGTTGGGGGATGGGCCACAGAACCTAGTTTGCTTAGATGTGACCTTTTTCTTTTTTAGAAATCTAACTGTCAGCATTTCAGTGGAAGAGCTCAGAAGAAAGAACAGTGTTAGTATGCTTTTATAAACATTTCCAGTAAGTTTCAGACTTTAATAAAAGCCAGTTCTATTGTATGTTTGTTTGTTTCTCTATTGGGAAGTTGGTGGGGGAGAAATGGTGGGAAGGGAGCTACTTTCCTTGTATAATTATCATCTATTTTAACTTGTAAACTGCCGAAAGGGAGGTGCCTTATCAGTTTAGCTGTGTTTTATTTTTCAATGTGTATTTAAATCTTCGTCATGCAAATACAGAGAACTTGAGGAAGACAAAGAAGTTAGTTATCCAGAAAAGCAATTATAAATACTCGCGGGTTTTTAGGAAATGTTACCCAAGACTTCAACAAGGTAGAGAGAAATGTGTTACCTTTAAAATCCTGTGGTTTAGTAATTTGAATTGGGTGCCTGGAGATACCTTGGATATTCTGTTAATAAGAGGAGAATAGCTTTAGTTGAAATATTTACTCGTAAATTAATCTGTACCATTTGATTGGTATTATCATTACTTTTTACATTTTTTTTTAAAGTAAACTCTATTCCCAACATGGTTCTTGTACTCATGGCCACAAGATCAAGAGTCACATGTTCTACCAACTGAGTCAGCCAGGTGCACCCAAATCTGTACCATTTAAGGGCATTTAAAACGTGTCACTTTGGGGCACCTGGGTGGCTCAGTTGCTAAGCATCTGCCTTTGGCTCAGGTGCCTTCGGCTCAGGTCATGATCCGGGGGTCCTGGGATCGAGCCCCGCATAGGGCTCCCTGCTCAGCAGGAAGCCTGCTTCTCCCTCTCCCACTCCCCCTGCCTGCGTTCCCTCTCTTGCTGTGTCTCTGTCAAACAAATAAATAAAATCTTTAAAAAAAAACCCAACCAAACAAAAAAATGTGTAAAGTTTTATTAAACCTTAACAAAATAGCTAAGCCAGTGTATCATGCATAAGCACATTACTACACAATACAAGTGTCTGATACTGAAACATAATTTTGGCGATTATACCACTAAGTATAGTCAGCAACTGTGAGACAATTCTTTTTGACTCCAGCCTGTTTGGCCCTTATCGTAATTGTATACAGCATGCTAAACTACAACTTAAAAATTTCTATATAACATGCTAAACATAGATTTCTGTGAAATTTATATACTGTAGTTTCCCCTTAAAAACATATTTTAAGATGAAACTTCTGGTCTCTACACCCTGACCACTGCTCTCCCCTAGCGCTCTTGGCACTCAGTACTGGGCTCAGTCTTGGCATGTGCAACAGCCCTGTGGCTGGTGGCCAGTGTGTCCACATCCCCTGAAAAACCATGTGACAGCTCACTAAGCACCTTCACACCCTTACAACTTGGACTGAACAGCCACTAGCTTCCCTCCTGTTACAACCATTCGAATCAGGAAAACTTCTGTGGCAACATCTTTTATGCTTGGCGGTACCTTCTACAAAGACACCCTATTCTACCTGGGAATGTTCTACTTGGGCATTGGTTGGGCTCAATTCCCTGACTGGATCTGGTGAGGCTGCCAGATGTCTCAGATCCTGTGCTTTGGGCCCAGCAACAGCACGTGGTAAGGCAGGCGCTGTCACCCCATTTTTAAAGGTGAGGACACCAAGGCCCAAGGTATGAAGCTAGTGGCTCTCAAGTTTTCTCTACAACAGAATCACGTGCTGTCTTAAAACAACACCAAATAGTCACGTGATAAACTCAATAACAGGTCAGAGATGACAGAAAATGAGAGCCAGTGAACTTGAAGATAGTAGAAACTATCCAGTAGAGAGGAGAGAAGAAAAATTTTGGGGAAACATGAACAGAGGCTCAGTGACCTGCGGGATAATACTAGAACTACAATACGATTATTATTTCAGTCCCTGAAAGAGAAAAAAGAGACCAGTGTTGAAAAAAATAAAGAAATAATGGCTAAAATTTCCCCAGATTTAGTGAAAGACATATTTTTCAGATTCAAGAACCTGAACAGCCTTAAATAAGATGAATTAAAAGAAAATCAGGCCCAGAAATACCACAACTGCTGGAAACCAAAGCTGGAGAACAATCTTGAAAGCAGTGCGAGCAAAATGACCCAGGACACTAGAGGAGCGGCCCTGTGGGCGGCCGCCAACTTCACGTCAGGAGACACGTGCTCAGACCACTGTGAGGCTGACTGAGGGCACTGCAGCAAACTGAGTCCTCCGGGAATGAAGGTGAACTGAAGCTGTTCTTGGATGAATAAACGTGGAGAGAACATGTCCTCAGGGGGCCTGCTCTGAAAGGAGTGCTAACAGAAGTTGCTCAGGCTGAAGGGAAAGGTCCCAAGGAAGCCTGCAACATAACAAATGGAGAATGTGCGACAGACAGGCTCAGTTCCCGAAGAAGCATAAGGACTATTCTTTTCAAGCTCTTTTCGAATATTTACTACTGTTAAAAGCAAACACGGCAATACTTCCTGGGGTGTTTACAGTGTGTACAGATGTAATGCATGGCAGTGAGGACAAGCTGGTGTTTGTAACGCTTCCACAACTTACTGGGAGTGGTAAAACATCAAATCCAAAACTACACTGAACATGGATATGTCTACTATGACCCCTGCAGCCATCACTAAAAAGCATATCATGAGGGGCCCCTGAGGCCCCTGGGTGATTCAGTCAGTTAGGAGGTGAACTCTTAGTTTCGGCTTGGGGCACTATCTCAGAGTTGTGGGATCAAACCCCACATTGGCTCTGTGATCAGCGGCGAGTCTGCTTGAAATCCTCCCTCTTCCTCTGCCCCTCCCCCTCCTCATGCGCTCTTTCTCTCTAAATAAATAAATCTTTAAAAAAATATTATACGGTGTGGGGTGCCTGGGTGGCTCAGTGGGTTAAAGCCTCTGCCTTCAGCTCAGGTCATGATCTCAGGGTCTTGGGATTGAGTTCCATGTCGGCTCTCTGCTCAGTGGGGAGCCTGCTTCCCCCACTCTCTCTGCCTGGCTCTCTGCCTACTTGTGATCTCTGTCAAATAAATAAATGAAATCTTTAAAAAATATATTATACAGTGAAAGGTAGCAAAAGGCCCAATACACAAATTGAAATGGAATTCTAAAAATTATTTAATAATTCAGAGAAAGGCAGGAGAGAGGGAACAGAAGAACAAAAACGGAAAGAACTAATAGAAAACCAAAATGGCAACCCAAATCCAACACTACCATTAATCACATTATGCTTAAATACTTTAAACACACCAATTAAAAACAGAGTTTGAGTGCACGAATGTAAGACCCAACTACTTGTCTACGAGAAATCCACTTTAGTAAGGTTTAGATGGATTACAAGTAAATAGGTGAAAGAGGAGATTCCATGCAAATACCGATTAGGAGAAATCTGGAGCACCTATATTAACATAAGACAAAGCAGCATTCAGAAGGGAATTACCATGCATTCAGAGGATATCACAGAATGATAAAAAGGTGAATTTACAAGGAAATATCAATTCTAAATGTGCACACATCTAATGACAGAATTTAAAAGTACACAAAGCAAGAACTGACAGACCTGCAGTGAGAAACAGACCCCCAGTTACACTTAGAGTTGTAAACACACTCCTCTCTCAGCAATATGTAGTAATGAGAGATAAAATCAGCAAGGATACAGAAGACCTGACTACTACCAACCAGCTTGACCTAATTGACATTTATAGAACACTAGATCCAGAGACAGCAAAACACACATCCCTTTCAAGGGCACATTAAACACTGTTCAAGATGATACCATAGGTTGCAAAACAAGCAATTTTAGAAAAATTAAAATCATTCAAAGTATGTTCTCTGACCATAATGAAGCTAAACCAAGAATCAGTAACAGAAAGCTATCCGGAAAATTCACAAACAGTTGGACATTAAACAACATACTTCTTAATTAGCCAGGAGTCAAAGTAGAAGTCTCAAGAGAACTTAGAAAATATGTTGAACAGAATGCAAAAGAAAACACATAGTATCAAAATCCATGAGATGTAGCTAAAGCAGTACTTACAGGGAAAGTTATAGCATTAAATGTTTATACTGGAGAAAAAGAAAGGTCTCAAATCAATAATTTAACCGTCTACCTTGAGGAACTAGAAAAAGAAAAAGTTAAGTCTAATACAAGTAATGGGAAAATAACAAAGATCTGAAATTAATGAAATTTAAAACAGAAAAGCAATAACTGCTGACCCTTGGACAACACGGGTTTGAACTACACAGATCTACTTATACAGGGAATGTTTTTGAAAAATATGGACAGGGCGCCTGGGTGGCTCAGTGGGTTAAGTCTCTGCCTTCGGCTCAGGTCATGATCTCAGGGTCCTGGGATCGAGCCCTCCATCAGACTCTCTGCTCAGTGGGGAGCCTGTTTCCCTCTCTCTCTGCCTGCCTCTCAGCCTGCTTGTGATCTCTCTTTCTCTGTCAAATAAATAAAAATAAAATCTTAAAAAAAAAAAAAAAGAAAAATACGGGACAGTACTGCAGATGTATTTTCTTTTTCTTATGATTTTCTTAATAATATTTCCTTTTTTCTAGCTTACTATTATAAATTAGAATTATTTTAAGAATACAGCATATAATGCATAATACATACAAAATACCATTAGTCAACTGTTTATGTTATCAGTAAGGATTCTGGTCAACAGTAATCTATCAGTAGTTAAGTTTTTAGGGGCCCAAAAGTCATATGTGAATTTTCTACTGTGCAGGGGGTGAGTGCCCTAACCTTTGTGTTGTTCAAGGGTCAACTGTACAGAAGAATCAGTGAAGCCCAAATCTGGTTCTTAAAGAAGACCAATAAGATTGATAAACCTCTATGTAAACTATTCAAGGAAAAAAAGGCAAAAATGATCAATTTCAAGAAATGAAACGCAGATATCACCACAGATCACACAGACACTAGGCACAATAAAGAAACTCTATGAGCATAATATGCCTATAAATTCAACAAGATGAAGGGGGCCAGTTCCTTAAAAGATACAAACTACCAAAATTCACTCAAGAAAAGAACAGAAAATCTGGGTAACCTACATCTACTACAGAAATTGACTCTGTAGTTAAGGACCTTTCCACAAATAAAATTCCAAGTCCAGATAGTTTCAATGGTGAATTCTACCAAATACATAAGGAATAAATAGTATCAATTCTACATGATCTTTACTAGAAAACAAAAGAGAAAGGAATATTTTCTCACTCATTTTATGAGGCAAATAATATCCTAATAGCAAAACCAGATAAAGACACTTCAAGAAAACTACAGACCAATATCCCTCATGAATATAGACAGAAACAATCCTAAACAAAATAAAAATGAATCAATCCAGCAATAGGACAATCTGTCATAACCAAGTGGAGCTAATCCTACAGATCCCAGCCTTGACTGGTTCAACATTTAATAATCTATCAGTGTCATTCCTTATACAAATACATTGAAGAAAAGTCA